TATGTGGTGTTATAAATTTTTGATCGTTTTCTAATCTACTATCATGTAATATTAAATGAACCTTATTATATATAAGAAATATCTCGCTCATAGATTCATAATCAACGAATTATGATCATTGTTCATAAATATCTCAATTCTTTCATAATATAAACGTTGGTTATGTTTAAAACATTCTTTCTATGTATAATATAGGGAAAATTGCATGAAAAAATAACGTATTTTAACTTAATTCAAATTTTGGGTAACATGTTTTTAAAACTTCCATTTTGATACATAAGATGTAAAGTTTTCAATTAAAAAAATTAACCAAATTTGCCTTGGCCTTGAATCTCGAAAAAAATACAGAAATAATGTCATTTTTTCCCTTTGCTTGTAAGATAAAGGCAGGCGTAGATCTATGAATAGGAAATGTTATGCTAGTATCTGCAGAAAATCAAAATAATAATAATAATGGAGAATCACCGCCAAAAAATGGGAAAATGAATTGATCGTGATTTTGAACCTGTTCTTTCCATTCAAACTTGAAAAGGATCTTTCTGATTCTCGAAGAATGAGGGGTAAGGGGATTGATCCTGGAAATACAAGATCCCAATTTTTTTTACTACCCTACAGTATCGTCACCGCAGTAGAGTGGGGCGCGCTCTACCCACTGAGCTAATAGCCCGTCGTGCGAGCCCCCACATGTTCTGCAGTACCTCCTGTGAATACTCCGCCGGTATGGTTTAGCCAAGGCTTAGCTCAGGACCCCACTACTCGTCATATTTGGTTTGCTCCACCGCTTGTGCGGGCCCCCATCAATTCCTAAGGCTTTCCTATTATAACAGGTTGTTCAAAAGAATCACACCAATCCATCCCGAACTTGGTGGTTAAACTCTACTGCAGTGACGTGAGATAATAAGCTCATGAGCTTGGTCTTACTTAACTGTCGAGAAACGAAAGAAGACTTCCATCTCCAAGTGCTCGCGGCAATTGTGGCCTCTCAAACCTGCTCCCATTTCGAGTCAAGAGATAGATAAATTTCTTAGATGTATTACCACATCCCCAAGGGTTAGGCCCACTTTTTACAAACATTTAAGTACCCAGATAACCGGTAATTTTAGATTAAAAAAATTTATGTCACTAACCACATCAACAAATAATACTGAGTTGGATATCACATCACTTGCTACATCAACATGATAATTAAGTTAAAGTATGTTACATTTTCATAAAATTTATCCTATGATATATTATATATATATATATAGATTTAAAATAGTTGAAAATTGATATAAAGTCCCCTCGATGACCACATCGTCATCGAAGAGATTTGCTAAGATCTGTAGGGTGGCTATTACAAAATAGAGTTCCTAATTACAAATTTCTAATTCCACCACGTGTCATTTCTATATTTATTGCTTCAAATTGAATTTTATTTTTTAATAAAAAATAAAATAAAGAGATTAAGTAAATTACATTTTTTTTTATCTATGTGGTTTGTTTAAAATTACTTTCGTTCAATTTTTAAAATTAACCTAGACATCCAATCCGCTATCCGAACCGTCTAATCCCAAGAAGACCACCCGTTTTGCAGGTAGTCCAAAGTCACTATATTTGAACTTCCATAACCATATTGTTGGAACCTCGAGACACTTTTGATCTTAGGAACTCAATCTTAAACCAATCGGACACCACCCTTGTGTGTAATTACTTTCGTTCTTGTAGTTTAGAATTGTGGTTTTTATCTCAATGATTTTAATATATTGACATTTTATTTTTATGATTTACAGTTTATTGTTGTTTCAGTCTCTGTGATTTACAGTTCTTCACTGTTTTGGTTCGCCGTACTTAAAAGTAGGAATTAATTTAAAAATAAAATAACAATAAATTACAAATAATATGGAAAAAAAATTGTAATTTCTAAACCCCGGGTACCAAAATTATAATTTATTCTAAAATAAGCTTGACATCATTACTTGCCAAATTGAAGAGAATATATTTATAACAAATATTGTGATTATATTATGTTGTTTATTAGTACCAAATATTGATAAAATTCTGCATTATTCAATATTATCTTTATACAATAATAATCAAAGATTGTATTTTAATTGTTTATGATGGTTTCATTAAATAATATCTTTTAAATATTTTAATTAAAAAAATATAGAATTAATGTTGAAGCTTTTAAATTTTGTTTTATAAAAGAGTCATAAAAGATGTATACGAGAGGTATAGGAATGGTAACGGGGCGCCCCGATCCCATCTTCGTCTAGGGATGGACTTAGAATTTTTTTTAAACGGTGGTACCATTTGACTATAAGAAAAATATATATGGAACAATTTTTTCAAACGGTGACACCATTTGACTATAAGAAACAAATGTACAAAGTTTTTTTTTTTCAAACAGTGACACCATTTGACTAAGAAAATGATACTAACAAGATTCGAACTCTACCAAATAAAACTTGTTCTCATTGTAGTTTCAAAATACATATAGTGGCACACAACAAATTAATACGGTTGCACCTTTCACGAACCTAATTTTTTTTTACGAATAATACGGTGGCACGTGCCATTGTATGCTCTACTCTAGGTCCGTCCATGTCTCCATCCTCGATCCCCCGTCTTTAAATCATATGTGTGAGGCACTACACATGTTTAAATCTCACATTTTTCCAAGAAATCTAAAATCAAAATAAATTTAATATAATATAAAAAATATACATAATCATATAATAATTAATAAATCGAAAACCAAAAGAAATTAAATTTAATCTGGAAAAATTAACGTCACATTTACCAAAACATATCGAGTAATTTTAAAACCACATTTAGTAATATACAAAATATATTAAAATAGAAATTATCATATATATATATATATATATATATATATATATATAATAAGGGCTTAATCAAATGAGAACTGATTAGTTTGTGTTAACTGTGAGATCCAATCTCAACCACAAATCAACGGATAAATTAGAAAATTAATAAGTATGGTAGTTTGACTTAAAATGATAATTAGAGGCATTTTAGGTATTTTTAAAAAAACTCCTCTCTCCTCTCTTCTCTCTCATCTCTCATCTTTCATCTCTCCGACCTCCAATCTCCGACCTCCGGTGAACAAAAATCCGGCAGATACCAAGTAATCACAAAGATACACAATGTGATACCCATTGTGATATACAATGGTACTCAAATGGTATCAGTATATCACAATGAGTATCACAGTATATCACAATAGGTATCACATTGTGTATCTTTGTGATTACTTGGTACCTACCGGATTTTTGTTCACCGGAGGCCAGAGATGGGAGATAAGAGAGGAGAGAGAAGAGAGGAGTTTTTTAAAAATACCTAAAACGCCCTCTAATTATAATTTTAACTCAAACTACCATAATTATTAATTTCTCAATTTATCCGTTGATTTGTGGTTGAGACTGGATCTCACAGTTACCACAAACTAATCAGTTCTCTCTTGAATGAGCCTATATATATATATATATATATATATATATATATATATATATGGTTACGGGACGAAGCGGGGAGTGTGATACATGTCCCATCCCCATCCCCGTCCCCAAGACCCCGTTTAACGGGGAATCCCCGACGGGGACCGGTGGACTGGGTTCCCTGACGGGTCGGGGCCAATCCCCATGCCTAGAGAGAGCAGTTGATATAAGAGGTATGAGAAATTATGAAAATGACCATTTCTAAATGATATGAATTGTGAAAGAAAACCCTAAATGAAAGCGATTTAGGATTATTAAAAACAGTTCAACAACTTTTATTTTAATTATCAAATAACCAGAACCCTTTTTCTTTTTAGAAACTCAATAATTCGTATTAAAATTTCATATATAAAACAATAACGTATAAACATTGCATCTTCAAACATGTTGTTTCATATGTGAAATAATACATGACAATTGTCATGTAAGTTTATATGATTTATTGAGTTTGTAAATGATTATTACTTTTAATCAACTAAAGTCATTTCTTAATGGAATCATTGAGACATAACCAAACTATTTACACTTTTATTGAATCTTAAGACCTGGCTCAGCCCAGCCTGAGACGGGTTATGTATATCGTATAAGCCTAATTTGTTTTTAATAAATACGTTTTTATATATTACAATACAATTTTTTATAAATATTTTACAAAATCAAAAAAGTAAAGTTTTTTTTCAAGATTTTAGCTACTTTAAAGTGTATTTTAATATTAAAAATTTAAAATTGTAATTACAAAAATATGTATAATATTTTTTTGTATAAAAAAGATTTAATTTTAAAAAAAATCTGGGCCAGGCCCGGGCCTTGGTAACTGAGTCTAGATTGGTCCTAAGTTTTTTGGTCGAAAGCGAACGGTTTAATTTCGAGAGAACCGATTTGATATCAGCCGATCCGACCCGGAACACATAAGTAGGGTGTAAATGAATCGAGTTGAGTAGTAGGTTATTCGAGTTCAGCTCGAAAAAAATTGCCAGGCTCGAGCTTGAATTAGTTTTTCAATGTATGGCTTGAGCTTGAACTAGAATAATTATTGAGATATCGAGCTTGATGCTCATTTATGGGTCAAACTCGAGATCGATTAACTTTTTTATTGACTCAAGATTGATACTTTTTACATTTTGATGTATGATTTATAAACATATGATCACGTTTGACCCAAAAAAATGTATGCTCTAATGGATCGGTTCAACTCGACTGAAAATTTTTAATAAGAGTTTTTAAACAAGCTGAGTCGAACATTAGTATTATGCTCGACTTGTTAAGTTAGAAAAGTTCTATCTTACATTCGAGATAAAGTTGGAGCTCAAAAATCAAACTCAAGCAGCTGGTTAAGAATTACACCCCAATGCCCCATCCATGAACCATCTCTAAATATTCATACCAAATACATGGGCTAGAATGTAAGTATGAGTATGGTATTGGGCCATATCAATGGCGGTGACCCTGTAGCTGTATCTATGAGTTGGATTGGATCCAAGCACTTTTGTCACCAACGATATCGCTAGTCTAGAATCTAGATTCAGACCAGAATGCGATTCTTACTGGGTGTTTTCTTTTTCTTTTTTTCTCTAAAATTTCTGTTGTTTTGAAAGAGAAAAAACACACGGCAGATACGAAAACGGGTTATCAATTGACAGATGGTAATTTATTCGTACACGATTTGAGTTGTTTCCTGTGAAGCCAAAGATCGAATACATGGTGTACATAGGTGGAAGATGAATAGGGTACCACCAAATACGAGCATGGAGACGGCAAAACAACAATTCTTGAAAGAATTCGGTGAATCTTACGGTTATCCGAACGCCCCCAAGAACATCGATGACATCCGAGCTACGGAATTTAAAAGACTTGATGGTAAAACCTCTGTAAATCCACCAATCTAATGTCTTCTTTCTTCCTTTCCTTTTCTTATAGAAAGCTAAGAACTTGGATAAAATGGTAACCAAGAATTACAGAGTGTTGCTTAGCCAAAATGCTACAATTATATAAAGGGTTCATAGTTTAATTGGCATTGTTTTTTATGCCAAGATTGTAAGTTGAAGTTATGCAATTTCATTTTTTGATTTGTATTTTGTTGGTTGGTGTATGGGATTTGTTTGTAGGGAATGTGTACTTGGATCATGCTGGTGCAACTTTGTATTCTGAATTACAGATGGAAGCAATATTTAAAGATCTTACCACCACTGTATATGGAAATCCCCGTATCTTTCTTATTTTTATTTCCTAGTTGATGTCTTAATGATATGATTTTTTCATAGAGTGAGGGTTTTTTTGGGGAAACCCAAAAAAATGAAAACGAGGAACACCGTAATAACCACTCATTTGTACGGTATACACATGTGCATATGAGTAATTGAAGATGTTTCCTGGTTTCTAGTACATACCGGAAAAAATGTGCATAGCGTTCAGATGAACGGTTACCAAGGTGTTCCTCAGTTCTTCAACCTTTTGTGGTTTTCCCCTGGACCTGACCCTATGTATATATATATATATATATATGTACCTATACATGTCTATTTGTTTCAATTATCTATAATGTCATTTGTAGCTGTTATTCTTGGACCACACTTGTATAATCCCTTTGTGGCATCAATCATCACACCTTTGAACTTATACTTATCGTTCTCTCTTCAAGTGATGATGTCATTCTTTGGAACCGAAAGATTCTAAGGTCATTGTTGCTATAGTTTGTGTCAACCTAATGGCTGCATCACATATCAGATAAAAATTGATTCCTTTTATGTAACATAGTTTTATGTGAGCCCTTTAAATCATCTCGTCTTTATCAAGACATGATAATCTTATATGATCACTATAATCCTAGAATTCAAAGGATAAAGACTCTTGAAGATGTCATCAAGACATAGTGATCCTAACAATCCTAGAACATAGGCGAAACTCAACTTGCTATGAAGTCATAGCCTCATAGGGAAGAAGTTTGAGTTACCCTTTATATAAACAGTTAAATATTATACTTACAAATGTATTTATTTATTTATGAAAATGTTCTTGTAGATTACACTGAAGTAACTATAGGGACAATAAACATTTGTTACTTGCTAGAATATATTGTTTTCACCCATGTGTTTAATGAAAGCTGCTAGAAATTGTTATTGGGTTTGCATTATTATCCTTGTAAAATGTCTATATGGTTGGTTTTCCATTAAGTCCTTTATGGACAAAACTGTCAGTGTGGTTAATCTGGCTGTTTAGATTGGGAATGCTATTGTTTAGGACATTTTTTTTTTCTATAGATAGAAGGAGTGTGTTTTCACGTATGTGTTTCATGAAGCTCACTTAATAAGCCACTTCGTATATCATTAAGCCACTACCAAGCAATCATGTATAGCTGACCGAATAAGCTGCTAGTCCTATCAAACTCATTAAGCTGCTAACAAAGAGACCCTACATGAGTCTTTCTGCTATGTACATCTAATAGGGTTATAAGATAGACCATTAACATGCATCTCTCTTTGAAGTTTGCCATGCTTTTTTTCCACTATGCTATCAACAAAATTCTCTTCATTTACATGTGAAGAAAGTAGCTAGAGTTCTGTAATTGTCATGCTTCTGGGTGGATTCTCTGTGATACCTTAATCAGGGATATTAGATAGTCAAAGCAGCTCTAGCCTGGCCACTTCAGACGTTTTAGAAGATGCTCGTAATCAGGTAACTCTTTATACACACATATCTAGTTGTATTTCCCGACATTTGGAGTGCAGGGTCTTATTCTATCAATAATTGATTATTATACGAACTTGAAAGATGTTGATATCAGCAAGGCATGAATTGGTAATGGATAGATAGGGAGATATGCCAACCGTTTTTAAAGCTCTATTATGTTTTTACTCGAGTTATGTTAATATTTATGTAAATATGTTTAGGTTCTCAAAATCTGTAATGCATCTCCAAAAGAATATAAATGTATATTCACTTCGGGGGCAACAGCAGCTCTTAAACTTGTTGGGGAGGCCTTTCCTTGGAGCAGTCAGAGCACTTTCATGTATACAATTGAGAACCACAACAGCGTACTTGGGATTAGAGAGTATCCTCTTTGGCATGACATCTTCTTTTTGACTATATATCTATACTATATTATAAAGCATTTGACAAAAGCTCTTAAAAACCATTTTTTATGCGTAAAGTACTGTTTATTAATACATATTACTTAAAACTCAATATTGCAAGTAGATTATGCGTAAGTACAATTTATTAAAGCCCCATATCTGAATTCGTGTCACTAACTGCAGATAAACATAATCAAATACAGAATAAACATCTCATTTTGAATATAAAAAATCTAAAATATAATTAGGATAATCATTGAGTTCTAACAGAATACTTAATTATTATCTTTATAAAATGTTATATTATTAAATCAAAAATAAATTGTTTCGTTATTAAACTTAAATTAAATTATAATAAAAAATAAATTAAAGAAATTACATAAAAAATGAGAACTTTTAAATAGTTGATTTGATATTAATATTGATATTTTTTTTTCAAATTTTTATGGTATCTTCAAATTTATATTTTATTCAAAAATAAAATCATTATTGCTTTATTAGAAACACATAAAATCGTATTATAGCATCGACAGAGACAAATAATAAAATAGAACATTAAAATCGAGATGTGTCTCGCTGCATTGCGCGAGTACTCTTCTAGTATATATATATATATATATATATATATAGAGAGAGAGAGAGAGAGAGAGAGAGAGAGAGAGAGAAGAGAGAGGAAGGTTCAGGGGAAAACCCCCAAAAAATTGAAAAACTGAGGAACACTTTGGTAACCTTTCATCTAGACGGTATGCTCGTGTGCATACAAGTAATTGAAGTTATTTCTTGGTTTCTGTGTAGCATACCAGACAAATTGCTAGTATGCACATGTGCATATCATCCAGATGAACGCTTACCAGGGTGTTCCTTAGTTTTTCAATTTTTTGCAGTTTTCCCCTGAACCTCACCCTATATATGTGTATATGTGTGTGTGTGTGTATGTATATATATATATATATATATATATATATATATATATTCTCACAAGACTTGTTTTGGCGGAAGACTTTTATGCCATATTGTGGGTTTGATGTTGATGTTGTCGTGCTCCTTTATATTGTTGTCATTTAGATGGTTTATATTTTGGATCTGTTTAGTTCTTAATTTGTAAAGATATGCTCTCAATGAAGGAGCTGCAGCATTAGCAATAGACTTTAGGGAAGCTACAAAATCTGATACATGTAGAAGCACTAGATCTTCTATCAAGGTTTTCCAGCATCCTCTACAAAAGAGAAGCGAAGCTAGGGTATTAGATGAAGAACCTACTGGTAAGCCTCTTTAATTTAAATCTGATTGCACTTATAATAATCGTTGAAAGCCTTTCCCTTAACCAGGTTTTGCCTGGGATTCCGTCCCCTTTACCAAAAAAACATTGCGCATTGTAAGATCCCACGTCAGTTGGGGAGGGGAACTAAGGTTGCCTTATAAGGGACCGGATACCTCCTATATTAGACGCGTTTTAAAACCATGAGTCCAGTTGTGTGTACAAAGCGGACAATATTTGGTACGGTTGGCCTGTGATGTTACAGATGGTATCAGAGCCGGCAACTGGACTGGTGTGCCAGCGAGGACACTCCGGCTCCCAGGGGGGTGGATTGTAAGATCCGACATCGGTTGGGGAGGGGAACTAAGTGTATGGACAAAGTGGATACCTCCTCTACGATATGCGTTTAAAACTGTTAGTCCAGGTGTATGGACAAAGTGGACTATCTAGTACTGTTGGTCTGGGATGTTATGCTCAGCTAGTACATTACAGTTGATGACGGAATTTTCATTTTAAGAAGTTACCAACTGAATACTTCCATCGTGTATGCAGGCCATACATACAATTTATTTGCTTTCCCCTCGGAGTGTAATTTCTCAGGAGTGAGGTTTAATCTTGATTTGATAGACATAATTAAGGAAGATTCAGAGCGAATATTGGAAGGCGCTCGACATTGCAGGTGTGAGATAAAAATTTTATGTACTTACCTACTGGAATATGAAGTTAAATAAGAACTTTTTGATGAAGAGGATGTTGGTGATTTTCTTACACTTGGTGTTTCCAAGCAGGGGATGTTGGATGGTTTTGCTTGATGCTGCAAAAGGATGTTCCACAGACCCTCCAGATTTATCAAAGTATAAGGCAGACTTTGTTGTCATCTCATTCTACAAGGTACCTGCTTAACGTCCAATTTGAAAATAGATAAAGAGGGAGACTTGTATATATATATATATTTATCRCATTTATCTTTTTTGGTTATAGCTTTTTGGCTATCCAACCGGACTTGGAGCTTTGATAGTTCGAAATGGTAAGCAGCTGCGTTGAAAATAATGGACACTTGATAATCCCATAATAATTTTTCTGTATGGATGTGCGAAAGAATCTTGTTTTACATGCCTCCTCTCCCGGATCCCCTATCTAAGTGATCATGAATACTTAAATCTAGAAAAAAATGATATCTAGAATTTCAATCATAAGAAACAGAGTTGTGGATTAACTTGGGGCCGACTCAAGCAATATTTTTCACAAGTTGGTTAAATTACTACTTTAAGGGTGTGTTTGGTATCCAGACATGATAGGACTAAACAAGACAGGACACAATAGTTGTTCAGCGTTTGGTAAGATAAAACTGGACAGGACTAAACAAATAAAATGATCAGTTTACCTAATGAGTTGTTTATATATTTTTATATATTTTGCTTAATTTATGTAGTTTATTAAGCTATAATAAAATAAAAAAAATTATAATAAAATATATCATTAGGAAGTTTTCGTCAAGACAATTAAAGTAACACCAAATTAAAAAGTTCATGTAGTTTCCAATTTTTATTTTATACCTTTTCTATGTTATTTTATTACTATTAATATTATTTAATAGATTATATAGATTAATCAAAATATAGAAACCGTATAAAAATAATATCTTGAGGACAGTAAAGTGAAAGTTTAAAGAGCATAAAATATAATAAATAAAATCTAAAGAATGAATAAAATGTAAAGGAGGCGTATTTGATGTTTTAGAAGAGAATTAAGTTTTATTTTGAGGTTATATTGGTAAAATATAGGTCTGTACCATGTTGTTCCATGGGGTACTCTGTTCCACATAAAAGTCTGCCAAACGTGGAATAATGATCTCTGTTTTGTTTTGTTCTATGCTGTCTTGTTCAATGTACCAAATGCACCCTAAAGGAGAGAATGTGACTTTTTGGAGAAAGGGTTATGAATTTGGGTGTGTGGATGGAATAGAGGGGCTATGAGTATTGGCAACTGTGCTGGCCTCAGTTGGTAAGATGACATTTTATTCAGGTTTATTTGTGGGAGAGGAAGATAGATCAAGGTCCTCCAGTGCAACTGTGAAAGTACTTGATGCTCTATACTATGTTGCACTTTCCTAGTTTCTGTTCATCTGATGCCTTACTCAATTTCCTTGCTATCCGTACAGAAGCTGCAAAGTTACTAAAGAAGACCTACTTTAGTGGAGGTTTGTTCTATCAACCGAACATTCAGTTTTTTTGAAAGAAAATTTTACCGACAGTTGAAATATTCCAGGCACGGTGGCTGCATCAATTGCAGACATGGACTTTGTGAAAAGAAGAGAAGGCATTGAGGAGTCATTTGAAGATGGAACACTATCATTCTTAAATATAGCATCCATTCGTTATGGATTGGATATCATAAATACTTTGAGCACATTAGCCATATCACGGTATGTGTTTTTTGCTAAAGCATGCAAAGCTGTATTTGTCTTCAAAAGATATGATGATTGTGGGATTCATATGAACCTTTTGTACTAACACATACAATATATGTGACTTATTATGCTCTATTCTAACATAAGTTTGTCTATTTGTTCGTAAGCCATACATCATCACTTGCCAGATATACGAGGAATATGCTTTTGGCATTAAGGCATGCAGATGGGGAGGAGGTTTGCAAAATATATGGTCTCGATTACTTAAAGGTTAGTAGGACTATGAATAAAGCTTACGAGTAAGATTTAGGACATACCTACATGGAAGGTGTCTTTTTCATTGGCATATATATACATATACATATGGCAAGGATGTCGATATGAATGGAAATAAGTAAAAATTTCATGGTGAGCTTCTGATAACCCAAATACCAAAGAGAAAACAGAAAATGTTGGTACTTCATGTTATCAAGAGCAGATATCATCAACCTTTCACAACATATAACTTGGGCAACAAAAAGAGAGAGACCACCAATTGACTCATAACGGTTTACTGGTCTAAAAGCTTCTTTATGCCATTTAAAGAATGTATTGGCTATCTCATGCAATTTTATCTAGCTTCAAGAATCTGCCTTTCTGTCTTGTGTATGTTGCATGCTGTTCTTATATAGTTATGTATGATTTTCTTCTCTCTTTGTTTGGTTCCTATATCACTTCTTCCTCTCTGTCTCTCTCTCTCTCTCACACACACCAAAACCGTGTGTAAAAAGCTGCATAAGGGGCCACTTACCCAAGCAGTGTATGGAAACCCTTTAGGCAGGGCATCATTACGTTCCCCTAAAATCTAACCATTTATAGCAGTTAAACTTGAAAGTAAAGTGTGCCTGCTACTCGATGATGTTTTTCTTTATCTAGGCTTGTGTGGAGTGTTATCAAAGTCCCCACTTAAGGCTGCTTAAGCAGTTTTCTAGGCATTAAATGTCTCCCACCACTTTAATTGATTAGGGCTGCTTAATCAGCTGCCCAGGACTTAATTGTTCACCATTAATTTGATTGGCAACTAATTGCACCAAGGAACAATGAAATTCCTAATGCTCTCAGTATAATACGACAGCTTACAAGCTAAAACATCATTCTTGATCTTCAAATTTATTTGTTAGATTTTCAGACAGATAAAAACGTCTTTCTTGGAGGACTCTTATAACATGTTTACTACCAATTTTAATTTACATATATAGCTAAATCCTCTTTCTGTATATCCTTACCCTTGCCTTCCTTTGAAGATATGTAGACATGAAATGAGTCTCTCTCTCTCTCTCTAGTGGGGGTTGGATACTGGATCTCTAGTCACCAACCTTCTGTTTCGGAATAAATTTCTGAAATCAAGTTTTCCCCTTGATTCCAAAATATTTTTCAACCAGAGTCCACAATAGTTGAGAGGGATATATGTGATGTTAGAGAAGTAGAGTTAAATGAATGGAACTAGCCAATTTGAGAAGAAATAAAGAATGGTATTCAGGCATTTATTTGTAAGATCCCACATTGATTGGGGAGGGCAACAAAGCCTTATAAGGGGTTTGATACCTCCTATATCAGACGTGTTTTAAAACAGTGAGTCCAGGTGTGTGGACAAAACGGACTATCTGGTACGGTTGGCTTGGGATGTTACAGATGGTATCACAACCGGGAACTGAACTGGTGTGCCAGCGAGGACGCTTGGCTCCCAAGGGGGGTGAATTATAATAGCCCACATTGGTTCGGGAAGGAACAAAGGTTGCCTCATAAGGGGCTTGATACCTCCTCTATCAGACACGTTCTAAAACAATGAAGCCAAGTGTATGGACAAAACGGAAAATATCTGTTACGGTTGGCCTGGGATGTTACATTGATGGAAATACGAAACAAGTATATATGTTCTCTCTTTTTGCACGTATACATCACTGTGTTTGAGGTTTGTTTCATCATCTTGATCACAAGGAACCTTGCATGTTGCAGGTTATGCACTATGTTCTGCATATCAAAAGCTTGCATGTGGTGTGTTATGTTTCTGCATGTTCCGTTACTAAATGGTGTCACTGATTTATTTACATTTTATGGTAATTGCACTTACATAGTCTTTGATTTCTTGTCTATCTTCTTTCATCTATCTGCTTTCTAGGCATCATACAGCGGACTTGGTTCTGTAGTTTCTTTCAACTTGAAAAGGTCTGATGGTTCTTGGATTGGCTACCGTGAAGTGGAGAAACTGGCTTCTTTATCTGGAATTCAACTACGGGTAAATTTATGGCATAGAAACCTGCTCTTACTAACTTCTTTTATGTTAGCGAGTCATGTTTGACATTAAGGGCCTGTTTGTTAGCAGCTTAATGAGCTTAACGGGACTTGCAGCTTTTTCGGTTGCTATACATGGTTGTTTGGTAGTGGCTTGATGATATAGAAAGTGGCTTATTCAGTAAGCTTTTAGGGGGAAGCGTTATGCAGAAAGCCAAGTTTTTCCAAACCTACTGCTCCCAATAAAAATATACGCTCCTTCCATCTATAGTAAAAACCTCCCATACAAAAACTTCTCCAATCTCTACAGACATATTAATCCACACAGACAGCTTTATCCATACATAACTTAATGAAAAATCAACCGAACAGCCCCTTACGTGATGTGTGACTGATCTAATCTGATCATTGGTTTCAATTTATCCATCTTGGCTCTACTATTCTCATGCACTCTTTTTTGTTTGACGAATTTTACTTTGCAGCATCAATGCTAGGTGCCAATTGTAACTTTTTAAAGATGAAGTTGGAATGCTAAATTTTACATGAACGCATCCCCTCTCCCCCCAAAAAAACCCTTCCTACCTCATCTCGGCTGGGAACATCATAGGCATGCGATTTTTATTGAACAATGTCAAGAATAGTTTAAATGCACGCCATCAACACATGAGATACGTGGAAAATCAGAAAAACATATATGTAAAGCACTACAAGTAGGGTAACAGTGATGATATACTACATGCAAAGCAGTGCAGGTAGGGTAACAGTGATGATATACTACATGCAAAGCACTACAAGTAGGGTAAAAGTGATGATGATATCGCTGGGAAGAGACCAGATTAACATCTTTAATATTTTAATCTACTTGAAAGTTCTACTTGCATCAAATGGAAACTGTGGTTTACTTTCTCAAAGTCTGTGGAGTGCTATTACTGATAAGATCTCTTGTAACACCCCAAAGCCCAAAGGAACAAACTGACCCAATAACTTCGAATCCAACCTAAAACCATGGTGGAAGTTATTGGTAGCCCATAACTTGAAGCTTATAGGAGCTCACAGATCCCATTATCTATCCATGTGGGACAAGTTGTTACATCTCTGCTTATTGCTGCTATTTATAACATTACTTCTCCAGAAGTGCTTCTTTCTTACACACTGCTTCACTGGGTATCGTACTCATGGTTGTATAACAACTTCACTCTGGACTTTGAATTTGCAAATCCTCCTCAAAATCCTGATATTTTTGTTCTCATTATCAAGCACTGTGCTTCCAATAATTATATCTTGTTTTGCTACCAAATTTTTTGCTATCTTAGATGTGTACGCATTTGAGTTAAATCTGGGTTCATAAACAGCATATAAGTGTACATTTCTTGTCATGGTTTTCATGTTCTCTATATTTTGTAGACAGGATGCTTTTGCAATCCTGGTGCATGTTCCAAGTATCTTGGTTTATCTCATTCAGATCTTCTATCCAACATTGAGGTAATATGTCACTAAGTCCTGTAGATGATTGTGTTGGCTTTCTTGTATGTTATCATAGGTATTTAAAGTGAAAAATTATGTATTATTACCCTGAATGCACAGTAAAGACGTTCCCATGGATCTGAATTCATGTCTATGTAGGAACTAACCTAGTAAAATACTACTGATATACCTGTATTATAATAGTTAGGTAATTTATGGTTGCAACTTCAACAGGTGTTTATTTTATCTTTTTGTTAGGCTGGGCATGTTTGCTGGGATGACTATGATATATCAAATGGGAAACCAACTGGAGCTGTTAGAGTTTCTTTTGGCTATATGTCGACATTTGAAGATGCCTGGGTATGTAGTCTTTGATGCAAATATATATCTGATTTGATATGTGTCCCTATTCATATAGGGCATGTATGTTTATTTAGAAACATTAGTAACTGGCTAACTGCTGCTAGTATCTAAATTGTCAGTTGTTAAAGTACGGATGAATACACACATACATATTATCAGAATTTATTGTTTAGTGACCAATGCAAGTATCTGGGTTTACGTTTATATGTATTCCCAATCCTTGTATATCATGCACCAAGCAGGAACATGAATATATAGTAGAAAAACTAACTGATTCATGGGTGGTGAAGCTACAAGCTAGTGTGAAATAAGAAGCAAAACTGGGTCAAAATACCAAACCAGATTATAGTCGAAGGGGTTAGAATCAGTAACCCTTGGGATAAATCTTGAAACTGAACTCTCACATGATTATCTAATCTTTACGACTAGGGTTTAAAGTGTTCTCCAAATTGTGTATATTTCTGAAAATGAACATGAGGATATGGTACAACAATGGAATGACTGATTGGTAATCTGGGGATGTAAGCTCATGTTGATCTAATTTAGGGGTTGTTTACTTACGGCTTAATGAGCCTAACGGTGTGGGTGGCTTATTCGCTCAGCCATACAGGATTGTTTCTTTACGGCTTAATTGTTAAACCATTAAGCCAAAATGGCTATATGGAATAAGCTAGGACCCCTCACTTGTTCCCATTAAGCCACCTCAAACAAATTAATACCAAAAATGCCCTAAAAATAATCCCACCCTCTTTGCCTCTCTCAAACAACAATACATTTTTATTAGACCGGGGCTTGATGCAAAAAGAAGTAAACAGTCCCTTAACCTGATTAAATCTCTTTAACAAACTCTACTGATCATCTATCTATCCTACATCTTCAATACCCGCCAATGATTGTCTTTTTAATTATCATGTTAGTGGTTTTTAGCTCATTATATTGATAATTTAGATGTTTTAGTTCATTGTAGTGTTCATTTGTGTTACTTTGCTTGTTATCTCTATCGAGCCTATAGATCATATAAATCTCAACCTCTTCCTTCATTTTATATTTCCACAGAAATTCATGAACTTCATTGTAAGCTCTTTTGTCTTGTTGCCCACCGATACTAGACATCTTAATCCATTGAGATCCGGCTCTATCCAGCCCGCCATGGAAGGTCATCTTTCACATAGTAATTGTTAATCATTTACTTCCTTATTTTGACTGAGCCATTCTGTTTAACTTGTATACATGACCAAGATGCAGGTCACAGAACGACGACAGAACATCATCTTACGTCAATTGTTGTGTATCCAATAAAGTCATGTGCAGGTTTCAGAGTGGACAGTTGGCCTCTAAGCAGTACTGGTAGAGAGTTGTAAGCTGCATGTTTTTGTTAAACCTTTTGCCTTGGATTTACTCGGTGCTATATTTTCTACGATGCATTTCTATTTGCAAGAATCTTCAAAAAAAATTCTTGGTGTTGGCATGGTTTTTTCTTTGTTCCCCATGTAGCATAAAAGGTTAATTTTTACAGTGGTTTTTTCTTACCTGCTGCAGTGTTCTTATTATGTCACAACCTAACCAACCCAGCCAACGTGGGTTGGATTGGGTTATGATTTAAAACAAATTTTTAACGGATGAGATTATTCAAACTGCACTAGGTGGGTTTTGTTGTTCAAACATCTTCAAACCGGTCAACCCATCCTATGTGCAACAACAGCTCTACTTTTCGAGCTTGTATTGATTCGTTTTGTTCCGTTTTTCCTGCACACGAAGGCATGTCTGTGTTTTGTAGCTAAAAGTTAGGGTAATCACGACTAATCCCAAACTGTTTCCTCTCTTCTGAGCTAATATTTAGTAAGACTCGTATATTCATCTGGCAAAAATATTGGTAATGTTTGTACCACCTGTCATCCTGTGAGCCCATTGTTGGACCCTTTTAGGTGATGTTGGAGACATGGAGTGACAATTGTGTGAAGGCTTCTGATTTTCATCATTCAAACGTGATTGAAACTCTAGATTAGGCCGGCGATGAACTGGGATAGCGATTCATAGTTTAACTTGTGAAAACGGTATCAAATTTACTTGTTTGATCTGAAATCCCTCAAGCAGCGATTAACTTGTGAAGATGGTATCATATTCACTTGTTTGATCTGAAATCACTCAAGCAGCCACTTCCTACAGTAGATAGGACCACTACCAGTAGATCTTTTGATATAATTTCTGGATAATGGGTTATTATACCAAACTAATTGTAAGTTTATTCACCAAGAGCATGAGCAAATGCATGGTATGATTCTGCTTACTTTTACCCCTGTTTGTTTAAGCTGAGCTGGTCCCTCATCTTTGACTACCTTCCTATTTGATCTACATTTCTATTCAGGATTGTTATATGATCGAGAGTGGCTTCTCAAAAGTATCAATGGTGAAATTCTTACACAGAAGAAGGTAAGCTATTACTTGCAATGAACTATATACAGCAATAATGTGCAATAATTTTTGTGAACTGAATTTGTGGGTCCTACTTACATGTAACTGAAAAATATTCTAGATGTAAGGTTTGCCTCGAAAAGATTATGGTGACATAAAACGATGCGTGTTTCGGGCTATAGTTGTATTTGAGCCAAGAATTCAAGCCTACAATAGTTGATTTTTCATTTTCCTACAAGGGTTTATTTCCAAATTTTATCTACCAGATTGTGCATCATTCCAAAGGTTATGTTTGTTCATGATCTACATCTTTGTTGTTAGTCATCATGGCCAAATTCACCCAATACCACCTCTAACACCACAGATCCCAAACGAACAAACCCATTACTACCCACATATACACTGGTTTACAGATGCATCTGAACATACTGTCTCATATCTTACTTGAGCTTGTGCTCTAGGCAAAAGATGGAAACTGAGGGAGAAGATAGAGTTTAGAGATTGTGTCCTAGGCAACTTAGGTTAGGATAGATCAAGTTAAAAGGATAAAGATTCGATCGATGATTCGATGGAGATTTATACTGATGTTTTTTGGGGTTGTCCATGAAATGCGAGATGGATATTACATAAGAGTTTTGTAATTTTCTTGTCGTTTATCTTCTTGAACCTGTGAATCTACAGAAATACATATATTCGGGGGGCGGGTGCAGGGTGGACGATTTTAAAACAGTCTCCATACATACAAACATACACACACACACATATATATACACATACATATATTATACATATCAAAACAAGGCAGCTAAATTTGAGATGGCTAGTGAGCTTACCGAACTTGATTTGATCCGACTCAGTTTTAACTTGAGCTTGAACCAAGCCTGCAAACTTCAAGCTTGAGCAGTCTTGATCACATTACAACCATAATTGTGGCACCTAAATAAAATATATATAGCCTGCTTTTGCGGTGTACCCTATGGCTACCTGACCTTTAGAGAGATTGCTTTACACTCTGAATCTTCAAGTGAAGACCCTAAAGGTAACAAAGTCTTTAGGAAAGTTATTGATGTTTTTCTTCTACTTGTATATTTTTATTTCTTAAAATGGTGTCCTCTGGAGGAAGTTAAATCATCTCACTTAGTATTGTAGGTACCTGAAATGTACTATATCGATACAAAGATTGACCTCAAATTGGGAATACTTCATGTGGAATCTCCTCGATGCAAGGAGAAGCTGCTTATCGAACTTGAATCGGATTTTTTTCCTGCAGTAGAAGAAATCAATGTACATGCCCAAAGGTTCGAATATTGTGCCTGTGTTGCATCTTAATTTTTCTTTTAGAAAAGTACTGAATTTTTTATGACATTCCCACCTCTGTTGTTATTGTAAATCCTTATGCTGCACAGATGTCCCTTAGGGTGCGTTTGGTATGCGGACGGGACTTAGACAAGACTGGATGGATTTTAATTTGACATGGAACTAGACAAGACTGGACGGATTTTAATTTGACATGGGACTGGACGAGTGAGTGTGATAGGCAGGTGAAAGATTCTGGAAGGTTTTAGGGTTTTAATTTGATATGGGTAGTTTAGTAATTTACCAATATTGTCTCATCTCCCTGATTCTTGTTCCACTATCTTGGTGGGACGTATGGTTTTTTGTCTCACGCGGGTCCTGTCAAATCCCAGTCTAATGCCGCACCAAACATGGGACAACAAACTTTTGTACGGTACTGCTATATGAATTAGCAAAGTGAGCTGTAGTTTTACCTGTCTAACAGCTACTAAAAACTTATATATGATTAAACCAAGCACATCCGGTATGCCCCACTTGGATGTAGGGCCGGGGTGAGATGTACACATATCTGTCATCTACTCAAAGAATAGAGCAGTTGTTTCAACGCATATAACAGTTACTAGTTTATATCAGGTTTTGTCTGGATCATGTAGTCAAACCATTGTTTACTTCACAGATATGAAGTTCTGGGCTATGATAATAAGATAGACACTTGGTTCAGCAATGCAGTTGGCCGACCTTGTTATTTATTAAGATCTAGTTCCAGAAATGGTATCTGCTTGAACAAGACCAAAAGCATGGGCAGATGCAGAGACGTGAATACCAGATTAAACTTTGTTAATGAAGCTCAGCTTTTACTGGTATCCGAGGAAAGCATATCTAACCTCAACCATAAATTAAACTCAAGTATGTTGAGATGCATCCTTTCTTTTTACGTTCTCCGTAAATGCTTTGGTTTCCCCATCTCTTATTGGGCAAAATGTAATGAATTTTGCCTTAGTTCCTATTTAGTGTAACAAATACTTTTTCTCGATAAACGTAACAAAGTTTCACATGTTCCTATATATTGTAATTAAGTTCCAAAATTTCCTTTATTTTCGTACCCATTTTGACGGATAACCTGTAGATCTTGTAACATTTGATGATGTGGGTGTCAATTTTATCATTCATTTTTGCAGTAACCCTTTAGTAAACCTCTCATGAATGAGTATCTACGTCATCAAATGTTACAAGATCAACAGGTTAACAGTCAAAACGGGTACGAAATAGGAGATTTTGAAATTTTATTTCATTGATTGAGAAAAAAGATCTGTGCAACACTAAACAGGAACTAAACCAAACTTTGTTGCATTTTGCTTCATTTTGCCCCTTCTTATTAAATCCTATCTCTAAGTTGGTTTTGTCAAGTTTATCAAGGAAATTTTGATATATTATGAGATGGATCCGCATAATTGGTGATAGACATTATAACTCATTTTGTCGGAAGCAGGTAGACAGGAAGGATCTGTTGGATTAAGAATGCAAGTTGATGCAATGAGATTCCGGCCCAACCTTGTGGTATCTGGTGGTGAGCCATATGCTGAAGATGGGTGGAGTAGTCTTAAGATCGGAGGCAATCACTTCATGGTTAGTTCTTGCTTCTTAGAACCTAAAATAGCTAGGATTTAAACATCAAGTTTCCATTACTCGTTATGGAATGTGTTATATTAATGATAATTCGAACATTGCATTTTCGAGAAAGCTTCCATGTCAAAACACCTATGTACTCATTATCATCTTCACATATGAATTGATGTCAACAATATTTGCTTTAGACTTTTCGGAAGATAAGAGCATCTCCAAGAGCTATGCTAAGATAGAGATCTTGGAGATTTAGAATCTTTTTTTGCTCCAATAGCTATACTAAAGTGTATGCTAAAGTGGAGAGGAAAAAGAAAGAGAAGGTAGAAATCTCAAACTTTTCTACCAATCTCTAAAACTTGGGTTCGTAGCCACGTGCTCTAATCCTCTTAGCTACAGGCCCCACTCTAGCCTCCTCCGTCCCTCGGGACCAACAAGGGGTAGTATAGGAATATTCACCTATTGTCCATAGACGAGCGGCCTGATGGACGAACGTCAATTCTATTTATAAATTCGTTATTTAATTTGTTTTTTTAATATTGATGAGAGATATATATTATTTTAATTGTTTGCACCGATGAGGTTGAATATGTAACTTTTTGTAAAGTCTTTTTAGAAGTGTATCAGGATGACGAATTTATAGGACATTTATAGTTGTCAGCAGATAGGTATTAGAGAGCCCCAGGATAGATACATTTTTCTCCTTTCAAACTTTTGTAAAACTTCCAGAACCTATACTTTTTATCATTTAATCGCTTTTATGGATTTTTTTGGTAGTCATTGGGCGGTTGCAACCGTTGCCAGATGATCAATTTGAATTATCAAGGTGGTGAGGTACAGAGATCAAATGAGCCTCTATCTACCTTAGCAGCATACAGGAGAACCAAGGTCAGAATCCGAATTCCCCTTTTTTTCGGTTTTGTTAGAAAAATATGAAATTAAAGTTTAACATCGAACAGGGTAAGATTCTGTTTGGAATTTTACTGAGATATGAGCATGACAATGAGGGTGGAGAAGAAATGTCTTCATGGCTTCAAGTAGGACAAGAAGTATACCCTGATCAGGTATGACTTTGCACATGCAATACAGACTCCTATTTTGAATCTATTTGGAGCTTTAGTTTAGTTTTATTTTATGTTATTTGTGTACAAAATATGTGTAGGAAAAGTCCAAAATGAAAATCTTGTAACAATTTTTTTTGTTAACCTTCGGTGTGCCGATCAGGGACCTTGAAAAACAGTCAGAAAACTCCTCAGTGGCCTTGTAGGACTTGAACCGGTGACCTCTAAGAAAAATTCTCAAAGGCCCGAGCCTTATTGTCAGTTGAACTAACTCTACAAGGTTGAAAATCTTAAAACATGTATGTGTGCGAGGCTAAACAAAAACCATTTTTCTTTTACATTTTAATATATTGATGTGACGTATTAAGATATGTTTGTATTGATGTATTTGAGTATGGAAATGGTCGGGTTATATTTACAATGGAACTAGAAGGTTTTGGGGGAGTTGGGTTAGATTGAATGATTGAAAACGTTGATTTTGTTGTGTGGCAGGTATTAATGTTGTTTGACTTGTGACTTTGACTATTTCCCCTTCAAAATTGGCTGTTTTCTAGGGTCCTTTTTTGTATATATAATGCCTACTTATATATATGGTATAATTAAATAATAATCTTATATATTATGATAAATGTAAATTATTATTTTAGACATTGTTTCATATGATTTTTTTCATCTAAGGTTGTGATCTAATACATTGATTAATATATATATATATATATATATATGTGTGTGTGTGTGTGTGTGTGTGTGTGTTTTTTAATGTGTTTGTTTTATATGTATTTGATTTGAAATGTGAGACTTTTTAGTTGTACTTTTTGTTTCATAAACACGTAAAAGATGTTTATGTTATAAAACAAAACAAATATATGTTAATCAATACACTAAATCCAAGTGGTGGATGAAAAATAAATTATGTGAAATAGCAGTTTAAGATTATTACAATTTTATAGATTTTCAAATGAAAGTCCCACTATATATAGATGCATACATATATAGAGGGGGAATTGGTTCAAACGAGGACACCACGATTTTATGAAGATACGATAACACTACTATCACATATGATAATACATGTGAAGGGATCCGGTGGTGTACGGATGAGTACAACTGATTTAGTATCACATGTGATGTATGTCTTCTCGTTTTTTCATAAAATTGTGGTGTTTTTCATTATATATATATATATATACACACTAGTGGTGTACCCGTGCGATGCACAAGTCAACTAATATATAAAGTTGAAGGTTAATATGATGTATTAGTAAGATCGATTGAGAAAATAATTGTACACATGTTGAGTTTCTAAACCCATATAAAGTTGAAGAGTTGGGGTAGGGTACATGCAAGATCTAAAACCTTTTCTGATATTGTTGCTTCGAATTTCAATTTATTTCAAAAGAAAGAACTTTAAATTTGAATTGGGTTCAAAATAGGAAACAAACAAAGTGTCAAACAACTTTGGGAAGATCAAACATATCTTTTTCATGTAAATATGGTTTACTTAAATCTGAAACTTTGACCAAACAAATGGTATGTTTTAAGTATTTGTACATTATCCATAATAGTTTGTACTTAAAAGATTATTAAATCTCTTACATAAATTAATAGTGTTTTATGCTTTAAGACTTTTGATCTAATACTTATTAATATAATATAGATATATACACTATTAATATAATACTTATTAATATAATACTTATTAATATAATATAGATATATACACACAAAAGTGTTTATGTAAAAGACCATCACCTTAGAAGAAAAGGCTGGGTCTAAATAGACTGGCATGTTGATGACAAAAATTAAAAAGAGTTCCTATAATAAATTATAAAAACAAAAGAATGATGTATTATCGTATTATATAAAGTTCGTTAATTAAAGCATCTCTTACATATATTTTAAGATGAAGATTTGCTTGACATATTCTTTAAAACGAAAAAATATATATGCAAGAAATGATAAAATATTTTAGGGGATGTTTGAGATTGCTTATAAAAACAACCTATTAACTTATTCCGGTGTGACACCAATAATAAGCATTTTTGAGTGTTTTATAAATAAATAAAAACAATTTATATCGGTGCCAAACCGGTAATAAGGAGTTTTTAAAGAAGTTAAACTCTTCTGACTTATAATAAGTTGATAAATGGTTTTATAAAAAAATATAAGTTGTTTCAAATAAGCAATTCCAAACACTAGAATTGAATAATTCTTTAAAAATGATTATTTATAAAAGAGATGATTTCTTATGAATCCTAACAATGAAAATCTTTAATTTTAAATGTTTATGGGGGAGAATAATATTTTATTAATTGTAAAAAATATTTTAATATATAATTTATATTATAATATTTAAAATAGAAAATTTGTTGGATATAAATATTTTTTTTCTTTGAAATTTTGATTTTGAAGAATTAGATCTTCTTAACTAATTAAGTTGGTTGTTTGATAGTTACTGAATAGTTTGGTGTAGAATGATTTAAGTCGTCAGAATGATTAAAAGACTCTCATGATATAATGCAAAATAAAATATAATTGTTTGGTAATTGTTTACAATGAAATTAAGGTGCTAAATAATTAAGGAAAACCCATGATACAAAATCATTCAAAAGGTTTTAAAAGTAAACAAACAATCTCTAAGTATGTGTTTATGAGATTTTATATATATATGTGGCCAAAAGCAGACACAATTGTTGACCGTCTACTTAATAGACATGACGATCAACTGCAAACGAATTTGAATGAATCAAAACCACAAAATTATGATTTATTAATTTTGACTATGCACACAGTCTTTCCTTACCTACGTCACCATTCGTCCATTCATTGGTCATCACCACTTCTATTCTATTCTTTTGTCTGCAACTCTTTTACTTTGTTTTTTTAGTTCATATATATGTCGATTTTAATATTTTTTATTTTATTTATTTTTTCCATCGATATAATACGGTTTTATGTGGTTTTTATTTTTAGATAAAATATAAATTTGAAAAAGAATATATCAATATTAGTATTATATAAAATATAAATTTTAAAATATGTTAAAACTGTTTTTGTAATAATCAATTAATAAAATAAATTTTTATAATTTATTTTTATAAAGAATGAAATTTAATTCTATTTCAATACCTACAAACTAAACGGCTGAAAGTAAGACAAACAAAGGGGAGACACTCTACCCTACCCGAAGAACAAGCCATGACCACTTGCAAGCATCTTAATAGGACATGACACCCCCACACCTCATAAAAATTTTTATGGGCTTGTTTGTTTTTTATAAAAAAAAAACTCTTATCAGCCCCTTATATTTGATTCATTAAGAGGCAATACCATTCAGACTGTTTGTTTTTTTCAATTTTTCAGAAGCAGTTATGTCTTATTTTCCTCTTATCTGATAAGAGGTAAACCAACTTCTTATTTGCCTCTTATTGTTCTTCAAATTCTCAACAACGACATTTCTCAGTTGATTAATCTTAACCGATCATTTCTCTCATTCGATCCTTACCGAATCAATCATCACCCCTCTCAATTAATGTATTTTAATAGGATGTAAATGTGTTAAACACCGTTAATGATATATTTTCATTTAGATGAATGTTAATTATATACTTTAAATGTAAATTTCATCATGATGAATTAATATGTGAAATTGTATAAAGTTATCTATAAATTCAACACTATAATATTTAATGGATAAAATACAAAAACAAACAATCTTATTGATTCAGATTTCAAACTTCAGCACCACCTCTTATAAATCAGAAGTGAAATAAGACTTCAGACTTCATCACATTTTAAAAAACAAACGTCACCTAAGAGTTATAGATATAATCATAAACTATTAATTTTTTGAAACTAAAACCAAATACCTGTATAACTATTTATCTATATAATTAGATTACAAAGAGAACATTTTTTTTTGAAAAGCAATAGAATAGTATTCCTTTTTTATTTTATTTAAAGAGATATATAATGACGCTGCAAATTGTTCCTTAACATCTTAATGCAAAAGATTTTTATTAAAGCTTTTCATTTTTCTAATATTTTAGGCATTTCAATGATAATGGTAATGGATAATAATATATCTCCATTATCATATACATATTTAATCAATTTATTTATAAGGGAACCAATCTCCTTGCTATTACGATTTGCTCCACATCTTTTCTAGAGATGGGAACAGCCACAAGGAAAGAGGAAGGGGATGGTTTATAAACTGTTTTACCTTATTAATGATTGTTTAGCAGTTGCTGAATGATTTGATGCAGAATGATTAAGTGATTAGAATGATTAAGATGTTCTCATTATATAGTACAAAATAAAATATAATTGTTTAATAATTGTTTACAATGAAATTAGACACTTAATGATTAAAATGGTTAAGAGAGACCAATGATACAAAATTATTCAGAGGGTTTTAGAATCATTAAAAGACATACTTATTTTTTGTCATAGCCTCTTAATGGAACTATTAAGAGGTAAACAAACAACCTCTAAACGTGTGTTTGCTATATTAGATATAACATAATAGAAATGATAAGGATTATTGTTTTATTTTTGACATGATTTTTATGTGGAATAGATGATAATAAAGTAAGACAAAGTGGAACAGACGTGTTTCATCATTACCCTACGAAACAAGATGAAACACATCTATATTTTACCGATATAATCTTAAAATAAAACGTAATTCTCTTCTAAAACATCAAATACACATCTCTCTTTACATTTTGTTCATATTTAAATTGTATTTATTGTATGCTATACTTTTTAACTTTATTGTTCTCAAAATATTATTTCTGTATGGTTTCTATATTTGGTTAGTTTATATAATTTATTAAACATTAATAAAAATAATAATAATAAAGAAAAGGTATAAAATAAAATTTATAAACTACATAAGCTTTTTATTTTTGTGTCATTTTAATCATCTTGATGAAAACTTTCTAATAATATATCTTGTTAAAAATATATATATTTTATTATAATTTAATAAATTATGTAAGTTAATCAAAATATATAAATGATATAAACAACTCATTAGGGTAAATTGATCATTTTATTTGTTCTGTCATGTCGAGTTCTGTCTTATCAAATGTTGAACAATTTTTTTGTTATGTCATGTCCGATATGTATAGATACCAAACTCACCCCAAGGAAGAGAGGGACCAAAATACTCATCATAATGGTCATGGTCATTAGCAGAAGACCCAAAATTAAAAATTATACAAATAAAGCCCATAAACAAATTTGTCATTAAAATGGAAAGAATTCAAAGGACCAAAAAATGAAGTTTTACTATAATTTTTGTTATTAATCTTAAATAATTTGATTATCCAAATAAAAAAGAATCAGTCAAGTACTTAGGAGTCTAAATTTTTATATACATATGTTTCATATAATAGACATTTTTGTATAATATTTTTTTTGTAAGTTTTAAAAATATATATTTTAAAGTAGCTACATAATACTTGGCACGATTTCCCTCTATTTCTAAGATGAATCTCTTTGGTCTTCTGTATAGATTTGTACAATAAGTATAGGATGACATCGTTGACAATTTCATAACCAACTATTGGTGCCTTTTAGATTTTATTTATTATTATTATTTATTTTATTTATTTTTCTATTCTCTTTCATCATTTGTCAAGAAATTTGTTTGACATTGTATTTTAGAATTTCTTATTCATACGTAATACATGTGAGGATATCTATGGAATTCTCAATATTATTTAATTTAATACGATGATATATGATTAGGTATTTGTAAATAGTTATATTAAGGGTTGTTTGTTTACTTATTAATAGTTTCATTAAGAGACAATTTCTGAATCATTAAGAGGTGAATCTTGTTTGTCAGAAAAAAAAATTGTCTCTTAATGGTTCTAAAACCCTTTAAATGATTTTGTATCATGGATCTCCCTTAATCATTAAGAGCTCTAATTTCATTTTACACAATTACCAAACAATTATATTTCATTTTACACAATTACCAAACAATTATATTTCATTTTGCACTATATCATGAGAGCCTCTTAATCATTCTGGACCAAACCATTCAGCAACTGTCAAACAACCCCTAAGACTTTGTTTTTTCCCTTTTTTAAACTGAATTTTTCCAATTAACATATAAGTATTAGTTATTAATCAAACATAATAAATATATAAAAATCAGAATTATGATCATTAAGTATTCAGATTGGGAAAAAATAACACAGTTCAATTTAAATTTAACCCTAGGTTATACATAGAAATTTCATATTAATTTAATTAGTCCCTCACGATTTTTTAAATCGCCGGATTTTCCAAAAATACATGCATTTGTTGCTTCAATGTGAAAATTGATGTGCTTCAAATCATTATTATTTGACTCGGATTTGTATGGAAATCCGTTCTACGGCCCTATTCGATCCAAATTTGTAAAAATAATATATATATATATATATATATATGTGTGTGTGTGTGTGTGTGTGTGTGTGTGCGCACGCGCGCACGCAATAACAAAAGGGTATTTTTTAAATGACCATAATTCAAAAATAAAGTGAAAAAATTGACCAGCTAAATCGTCAAAATATTTTTGCCATTGGCAATAAATCCATGCAAATCGTTAAATTATGAGGTTCTGAAATAGCTAACCAATAATAGAACAACATTGTCATTTTGTCAATGATAGAACGAACCCTTGACGAATCCATGCAATCGTCAAATTAATGGGATTACCTTGATAAGAAATCTTGAAACATGTTTTTATCTAAAGTTTAGTTTGGTAGTTCAAACTTAATTGGGGGTTGTATAAAGTAAAAATAAAGTTTTACACATAACCTAAGGTGACTTCAAAGTTCAAACATATGAAGTACAACAAAGGGCATATTTGAACTTCAAACTTTAGATCATAATAAGAGTGTAGACTAGATACATATAAAACCAACATGTGCTAAATAGTTACTTAATTAGAACAAATGTATTAAAAAAATTATTAGCATTATAAGCACTAAAGCCTACTAGTCAAATGCCAAAAATTAGCCGAAGAATGGTATAAAGCATGTTCTCATTTTCAGCTCAAACAATATGGATCCATATATATATATATTGTTTGTGGTACCATGAGATCTAAACTCAACCACAAATCAAAGATTAAATTAGGAAATTAATAATTTTGGTAATTTTAACTTAAAATATTAATTAAGGGCATTTTAGGGATTATAAATATTCTTTCCTCTTTCATCTCTTCGGCGAATCTTATTCCGATGAACCTTATGTGAACACAAGATACATATTGTGATATCTACAAACGATATTCACTATGATACCCAAATATATATACAAGATATACAATGTGATATCCTTTGTAAAACATTGAAAATGACGAAAATGCACACTATGATACACATAATAAAACAAAGAAAATATATTGTGAACGTTATCACTATGATACGTTTTGATTCACAAGCGTCTTTAAAATACAATGTATATTAGGTAATTGATATATTATGTAACTAATTTTAATTAAATATTTTGATTAGTTGTCAAAAATAGAATTACTATATTACTTTTTTAGCTTATTTAAAAAATATCATTAAATATCTCAAGCGAGTGGTTCACATTGGATCTCACGGTTACCACAAACAAATCAGTTTTCCTTTGAAAAAAGAAATAGAGATTCAAATAAACAGTTTCTTTTATTTTCAATTTCATTTGTTATTGTTTAATATCGTTAACCAAACATCCTCTAAGTGTAAGGGCTAATAGATTATCCTCAAAGTTCTGTTTTGATGAATGGCATTGGGTAACTGGGTATGAATCAGATAATGGTTATTTTGTTATCTTGCTTATTGAAGTTCTTACCGTGTCCATATTCTACTCATTAGTATAACAAATAATAGACGGCTAATGGTTAAATTTCGTTTATCCATATCTTATTCATTAAAATGTTGGATGAATAACATACAATAAATAGATAAATAAAATATAAATTATGGATTAAATTTATATTATTCAAAGTATAATATATACATGCTTTTAATTTGGGATGTGAATGGTGTTAATGGATACAAATAATTCACATATTATGAAAGAGGCATATGACAAGTGTCTAATAATTTATGTCGAAATTTCTTTGAAACTTATGACTTAATGTTGAGGGTGTCACATAATGGATTGAAAAAAAAAACTTATATTTCATAAGACTTAATAGTTTTTGCTTTAATTTCATAAGACTTGGGATCGGGTGGGAAAAAAAAAGAGATTGAGAAAGTTGTGAAGGTAACTTTATATTGAGTAAATGTTATACGTTATATTTTGTGAAGGTGGCAAAGACAGACACGAATGTGTACCTTCATAGTTTCTTTAAAGGCGGTCATTTTCACAAACTTTCGCACAATATAAGAGTATCTTCACATACATTATGTGAGAGTTATATTTCTCACGAAAAATTGCATTTCTTACAACCCCCCCCCCCCCCCCCCCCACACACACACACACACACACATACATATACAAACTCTAAAATTTGTGAGATTTATGAGAACTTCTACTTTAAAAGATTTTATTTCACATGATCTTTTTCCATCTAAGTACAATGTTTAATGTATTGATAAACATATATTTGTTTCATATGTATTCAGTTTGTAATGTAAAACTTTTTTATATGTAATTTTTGTTTCATAGACACGTCAAAAATGTTCACATTTTGAACCAAGTACATGTAAAACAAATATACGTTTAGTCACTATATTAATTAATGCTAGCCATAAATAAAAAATCATATCAAATATCACATTATGTACTGGTTGTCAGAGGTCTTACCATCCAGAGAGATCTCATATATAATGTTTGAAAGTGTACATATAAAGTAATTTTGAAGAAAGAAAAGGATGAAGTGGACATGTTGTGAGAAGAGAACATTATTTCTTTGTTTGTTGCATGAATGTTCCAATTTTCGTCTCAATGATAACTTGTGTGGGTAGAAAAAAGGACCGAAGACTTGATAAGTTTGAAGAAGTTTAGATTTCTGGACCCTCAAGACACCCACCAAGTCAATGTTCATGACTTTGACCAAGTTGGAATATTCATCCTTTATACTTAGCTCCTCAAACCCTCTTTACATACAATCTCACTACTTCATAGTTCATACAATATGCAAAAGAAAACCCACCTTTAATTTCTAGCAATCAATCCTCTTATTATACTTAGTCTATTCAGAAATTTGTTGCAAGAATCTATGGATACTCAGAAGCAGCAGTTATTGAATAGTAAGTACTCTCATAACTATAATAGGCAATTAGTTGATGATCAAGAAGAAGACGTACCGTTGCCTGGGTTTCGGTTTCATCCCTTGGATGAAGAGCTTGTTGGATTTTATCTGCTGAGGAAGGTTGAGAATAGACCCATCAGTATGGAACTCATCAAGGAGATTGACATCTACAAATACGATCCTTGGGATCTTCCAAGTATGTATTCAATTGTTTTTTTCCAGCCATGTTTGTTTTATTTCTGCAAAACCAATACTAAACTTGGGATTAATTAATAAAGCTAGGAATTCTCGATCAGCATAGAAGATTGGAAGAGGAAATTAATCAAATTATAGAATATAGAGGATGACTGATGATGCTGGCCACTTTGTTGTTCATAATCAGATAGAGCATGAAACAAAAATAGTGCAGATAATTAAGTGTTCAATTTCTAGGGTTTATGATCTCAATTATGAATGATATGTTATTGTTTTATAAATGTAATTTAGATCTAAAAACACGCATCAAACAATTAAGTAACGATTTCTTCCGCTTAAAAATGGTGTAGAAGGCAGTAATGCAGGAGAGAAGGAGTGGTACTTCTTTTGCAGAAGAGGCAGGAAGTATAGGAACAGCATAAGACCCAACAGAGTCACCGGATCTGGTTTCTGGAAAGCTACCGGCATCGATCGTCCAATTTATTCCGGCGATGGATCAGTCTGCATCGGCCTTAAGAAATCTCTCGTTTACTACCGTGGCAGTGCCGGAAAAGGCACCAAAACCGAATGGATGATGCACGAATTCCGTCTTCCACCACCTCATTCCGACAACCAAATCGACGATAAATCCATCGCTCTAGAAGCTGTAAGAACAAAACCTGCTTAACGAATCACATCTAGATTCTTATATATATATATATATATATATATATACACACACACACACGAGACTTATATCAAACACCTTATCTTCATGCAGGAAGTATGGACATTGTGTAGAATTCTAAAGCGATCTCCGAGCCACAAAAAAACCTTACCAGAATGGAGAGAAATCTCGACCAGTAAATCACCGCCCGTGGTTGATACAAGCAGCGGAGACTCCGATTACGATATGCAAAGTTACATTAGCTTTCAAGCTCCTGTAATCAATGAAAATAAACCATTCGTTCATACTCATCACCAACAACAACACCTCCATGGATCAAACCAGTTGATTATGGGACAGTTAACATCGTCGACAGTAACATCCGATCAACCTCCATCGACGACGGCATCATGCTCTAGCTTCTCCGGTCTAGATGTGAACCAGTTCATTAAGCATGGAGATTGGGATGATCTTAGATCAGTTGTGGGCCAATTTTCAGTTGCCGATCCTTTTTCATTCACGTAATATTGCTGGGTTGTAATATTGAGTATAGAAAATTGTATAGAATTGTATCAACTAGTTGTACGGTAAAACCAATGCTATTTATAGCTTGTACCGTATAACTAATTGATGCAATTTTATGCGATATTCTATCTTGCTCTATACATCGGATTTCGTCTAAATCCACAATGTCTGAGTTTGTTGTCATCTACTAAAACCAGACATAATTTTCTAGCATATACAGTGTTTTATAGCCGATCTTTATAGTTCGATGAGAATGTACTGTATTAATCTTGTAGCAGTATAGCTGGATTTCTAGAATGTTTTCGCCTTTTTGAAATAATTTGAAGATTTTGAGTTTTAATTTTTCTTTTCAAATATTATCTACTGAATTATCAGAAACAGATAGCGCATATACGACAAAAAAAAATCACACTTTGTGTATTGAACGTGTTTTGAGAGTTTCTAAAAAAGGATGTTCAATGATTATAATGTATAATTAAATACTAAAAGAAACTTTTTAATCTTATCATTGAAAAAAAAATTAGTTAACCTGGATATCCAATCCGCTATGCGAGCCGACTAATCTCATGACGACCACCCGCTTCGCGGGTTGCCCGGAGTCACCGCATTTGAACCTCCGTGGCCACAATGAGACTTTTATTTTTCCTCGGATTCAAACTTCGGAGTCTGGGACCTCCAGACACTTTTGACCCTTGGAAGCTAAGTTTAAACCAAACGGACCACCCTTCATTGCTGCTCCTCCAGTGATGTTGATGGTATTCGTGAACCTGTTTATGGATCTCTACTTTATGGAAACAATATTATTTCAGAAGTCATTAAATTCTACTACTGTAGCTATAGGTTTGCATTTTTACCCAATATGGGAAACAATATCAGTTGATGAATAGTTATACAATGGTGGTCCTTATGAACTAACTGTTCTACACTTCTTACTTGGTGTAGCTTGTTACATGTGTCGTGAGTGGGAACTTAGTTTCTGTCTGGGTATGTGAGCTTGGATTGTGGTTGCATATCCAACTCTGGTTGCAACTGCAACTGTTGTTTTCTTGATCTACCCAATTGATCAAGGAAGCTTTTCTGATGGTATGCTTCTAGGAATTTCTGGTACTTTCAACTTCATGATTGTATTCCAGGCTGAGCACAACATTCTTATGATGCACTTTTGACACTGAATATTTGCGAAACGTGTTGATGGTTTTTGTATTTGGATGGATATTGTTGTTGAATGTTGTGATACGAAATACTATTAACATGAAAACACGAGAAAAAAAAAAGAACATTTTCCACATTCAAGCCCTATAATTGATCACACATGCTTGTGCTCTTTGGTAATACTGAAACAACTAGTTTTGGGAAATATGGCAACGTTGTATGTTATGATCCAGCATGATTGTGTGCCTTATATATTTGCAAATAGAAACTTTAAGGAGTTTGGGCACTTGTTCTATAATAAAAATCGACTATGTTTCGTGATAAATTCGAAATTCCTAATTTGTTATGTTTGGATCGAATTGATATTATCATATATGCTTAATATAAATACCCTATTGGCCAGGTGCGCATCTGATAGCCCTGACTTGAGAGGCAAAAAGCCCTATTTTAATTTTAATGGTAGATATCATCGAGATACTAAGCACATATTGACGTTTTAATTTTGATATTCTTTTTCCAAGTATATAATACTCATATATGGCAAATGCGACAGTTAAACTCAACCACAAGAGCGGTGTCTGGTTGGTTTGAGCTTGAGCTCCAAAGCTCAAAAGTGTCTGTAGATCTCATGATCAAATCCAAGGAGGAATAAAAATCCCCTTGTGGTCTCGGAGGTTCAAATACGGTGACTCCAGGCTACTCACAAGCAGGTGGTCGTCCTGGGATTAATCAGCTCGCATAGTGCGTTAGATATCCAGGTTGATAAAAAAAAGTAGTTAAACTCACATGCTCTCTTTACCTTTGGTGAGTTTGAACCCTGACTTCTCATGAAGGCCAAAGATCCAGGTGCCGCTAAGCATAATGTGTTGTTCGTCAATAAAAGTTTCTCGTTTCCGGTAAACATACATCACCATACCAATGGTGAAACTACGTAACTCATGTGTTGCTCTGTGTTTCTTCTTATTTGATGTTTCTGGTGTTCATGACGTTCATTGAGTGTTACCAATGACCAAGATGGTTCCGTTAGACCTTCTTTGAATAATTAATTTTTTTTAAAACAGTTTAGATATTGTTTCTATATTTAGTAAAATAATACAATAAAACAAACCAAGACTTTAGCATGTGTTCGAACATTCTAGAAGGAAATAGTCTAGGGTTGATTTTTATAATTAAAATATGTTTTATGATTTTATAAAATATGAAAACTATGTATTTTTAGTTAGTTTTTTAAAATACAATTTATTTGTTTTGAAAAAATATAATAGTAATTTGACAGGTTATTAAACTGAAATCTTGTTAAAGATGATTTAAAATTATATATATATATATATATATATATATATAATCTTAAAAAGGAAAAAGTATCATTTTTATTAGGAGTGAGTAAAGACGGGTACCCGATCAAAATTAATGGAACCAGTCCGAAAACCGAAAACGGCGGTTCATGTTATGGAGGAACCGGAACCCGTCCCGAGACCACTTGAAATTGGTTCCGGTACCGGGTACCCGGTGTCTATTTTCTTTTTAAGTTTTCATCATTTCATAATTCATATTATAAAAAAATAATTATTAGTCTATTACAAAGTATCAATGTATAGAAATAAATATTACAAACGATGAAAACTAATCCGATAGAAACTAAAAACTAGTAATTACATAAATAAAAGGTAAATTAATTTCAATTTTAGTTTATTAAATATAATAAACATATAAAATATTTTTATTAAAAAATAGCGGGTATTTGTCTGTTTCGTTTCTTGGTATCCACCAAGTACCCGGTCCCGACGGGTACCCACCGGTTAACGTGTTATAACCAGGTTTGAGACAACCTGGGATTGAGGTAATTTATACATATTTATTATGTGGATTACGTGAAATATGCATGGCTAAGTTGAAATACATGATATTGTGTATGCATGACATGCCATAAATGATTTATACATGTATGCGTGTGGTGTGAAACCAGCGGCTCTGGTCGTGAAGACCAGAAGCTCTGGAAGAGAGACCAGAGGGGCTCTGGTCCKGAATGTTGAAATATTTTCTAAGTGTGGTTTAGAACCAGAGGCTCTGGTCGTGAAGACCAGAAGCTCTGGAAGAGAGACCAGAGGGGCTCTGGTCCTGGTTGTCGAAATATTTTCTAAGTGTTGTTTGAAACCAGAGGTCCGATGGATCGAAGCAGTATGTTTTTAATTTTACTTCATAAGATGAATGATTTGAAATAAACGTTTTGGTGATTCTCACCCTGCATTACATAGAAGGGAACCTCACTAGACATTCATGTCTAACCCTCATTTTCGTGTTTTCAAATTATGTGTGCAGGTAATGATTATAAGGGAAAGGATGTTATGTGAATTACTTCTCTATATGCTTAGCTGTTTTGGAAGCATAAATGTTAAGATGCAAGAGCATGTACTTTTGGAATTTTTGGGTTGTGTATTTTATATTACAGACTCTTGTATCGAGGACCTATGTAGGGAAAACATGTATTCTATATATGAAATATGTGTTATATGCAATGTGTGGATTTGGGGTGTTACAGATCGTGAAATATGCATACCAAAATAGAAATGCATGAACTATATATGTGAACATGATATTGTGCATGCATATATGTGAAAAGATGACATGACATATATGATTTATAGATGCATACATGTGGTGTGAAGCATACATGAGGTGGTGCTTATTGTGATAAACTATTCGGGTGGAATCATTATTCTATTATTTAAAGCTTATATCTTCATGGTTAAGAAATCATGAATTTTATAATACAAAATCCACCGCCCAAAGTTATTTCTATTGGACAAAAGCTTTCACCGCCTTTGAAGTTTTATTATTAAAATCCTCCACCGCCTTGGTGAGAGTATTTAAAAAAGAGTTTGATAAGGTTATCCTTATCACTATCACTCTTTTAGAAAAAGAACATGTGTGTGAGTAAGGTGTTCTTGAAGATTCTGTGTTAAGAATAAAGTTTTTGTTGTGTGATTTTCATCAAGAAAGCTGTTTGATAAGGTGAGTTTTCTTTTAAAACTACCTTTGTTTATAAACTGTGAGTTTTTAAACTACCGTTGATTATAACTATTGAGTTTTGATATTGGTTTTGAGGTTAAGATGATAAACTGTTTTTAACAGTTTTATGATGTTATTTTGGATTTTGATTTTGATAAATATAAAATAGAATTGTGTTCTTCAACAGCCTTGAGAAGTTGTTGTTTGAATCTGTTTTTTTGGAACTGTTTTGGAAAGATTTAAACAGTATCTGGGTTTTAAAACAGTTTGAAAGAGTTTACAGAAAAACAGAGTTTTAAACTGTTTTGGGAAGAACAGATTGTTCTTGAGAATAAAAGGTTTTGAGTATAAACCTATGTTGAAACCATCATTTGGTTTGAGGATTATGAACAGGTTCACTCTGACATGTGACTGAGGTCTGTCTTTGGATGAACTACTTCATATTAATGAATGGGAGGATATAAGGGTGGAACATCATTTAAAGGGGATTATTGGGAGGATATAAGGTGGGACGATATCGGCATAGTCTAACTCTTACCATGATAACTATTAAAGTTACAACAGATTGGAGTTCTCACTTCTTGGTGATTTGAGGATTTAGAGATGTTGTCTTTAGTAGAAATGGTGGTAATGATGTGATGGTATTGGAGATAATATAATTCGTGATTGTTGATGTTTTGGGTAAAAGCATTGATTATGAGGAAACAGATTAGCTCTGGTTATACCTTGCAAAGACAAGAGGGGCTCTGATTGACCCTCATAATGGAACCAGAGGATGCTAGTTATTTATGAAAAATATTTTATGGATTTATTAGTTTGGAAAATAAGTTTATATCTTTGAGAAACAAGCTTAGTAATTTAATTCTTTGTTTTAAAATGGTATTT